GAGCGTATAAAAATTAGAAACAAGAAATTGTTTCATTTATTTATTTATACAAAGTTTCTGCAGTCCCTTCTGATAGTAGACGTGACATGAAAAAAGCCTGGCCTTGAGGCTGAAGCCTTCCTGCACCCAGGCATGGCAGCTGCTGTCCCCAGGGGACAGGGACACAGGCGGTGCTCTGTGCCGCCTGGCCCAGCGCCGCGGGCAGCAGGTTGCTCTTTGCTGGCAGCAACCATCCCTGTTTCCTTCTTTTTGCTACACTTCCTTGGGCGCCTGGCCTGTGGCACCCTTCCCTCACCTACTTGCTCCCCACATTACCCCCTGGCTACTCTGCAGACCACTTTTTGCTATAGAGTTGCTTCTCCCCTTGCAGAGGAACGAGGGTGCTTGCAGCCCTGTCCCCAGGCCCTTTCTCTCCTCCTCTGCACTCTCCTTACCCAAGCCACCCCTTAGCAAGGAGCCAAGACTTCAGCTCCCTACAGCTGCCTTGATTGTCCAGGCTCTCAGCACGAACCCAGCGTGCTGGGCAAGACCAAAGCATAAAGGTAATCTGCAAGGGGAAGCGGGGGCAAGGGGGCACTGCCTGTGCCTTTCCTTTCACAGTGCAAAGGAAGAAAGCAAAGGCATTGGGTTTGTTTTTAAACTGCTTGGTCCCTTGCAAAATAACTGCAGCAGAGCTTTATTCACAGTGTTTGCTGCTTTGGGTGGCAAAGCAGGTTTAAAACGTTCCTGCCCTTCCTCTCCCTCCACTTTCCTTCCTGCTCCCCCTTTCCATGCCTGGGGCAGTATGGCTTGCATGATGCAGTCACATGAACCAAGCTAAAACTCGCTCTGTCTACTCATGATTACTATTTTTTTTGGCTGTTTTCTATTTTTCTTTTGTGATAGTGATGAAATCTATCTTGCCAGCGTGGCACTAGGCAGTGGGACAGTCACAAAAAACCGAATTTGCCCCATAGATGCTCCTTCCCAGGCGGCAGCGTTAGTCCCAGGTTCAATAGGCAACATCTCAGCCTGTTAATTTTAGCCTGGGCTTCAATACTCTGTAGGAAATGTGGAGCTCTGAAGAGCTGCCCCTCTGCATCCCTCAGGGTTGTCCTCTGGCTTGTGGCTCTGCAGGGAGGTGGCAGCACAGCCCCCAGCCCCCCCACGGGTGGGTTACACCAAGGCAGTGCCAGAGTTTAACCGGGGCCTGCACTTGCACTTGTTTTCAGGATGTATGCGCCCGCCTCCCCTGCTAGGGCAGATTTAGTGGAATCAAGTGGAAAGACAGGGCACAGACTTTATTTAGTTGGGATTTTTGGGTTTTTTACCCCACCTGATCAGCATCGATGCTGCCAGCGTGCTACTTGCTGCACTCCTAAAAAAATCCCTGTTCCGAGCTATTTTTGGTGCGGTCTGCTGCGTTGCTTCAGTACTGCCGGGGCGGGGGGCATAAACTTCTTGAAGGAGAGCTGTTTGTACTGAGCAAATAAGAGCTTCTGTTTATAGAGGCAAAAACAAATTTAAAAAAAAAAAAAAATCCGGAAGGATGGGCCCATGGCCCTTTTCCAATGAGAAGAGCAAGTCAAAACAATGAACACCATTTGTTTTTGCTTTTCCCTGGCAAGCTTCCTTCAGCTGACTATTGCATGATCTGTTCAGGGTGAAAAGACAAGAAAAAAAAAAAAAAGCAGCAGGCAGTAGCAATTGCTCTGGTTCCCCTCTCCTGCCAGCGGCTGCGCGCCCCGTGTGGGTTTAAAGCTGCAGCTGTCAGCTGGGCTAACCCAAATCCCAGCGCTGGAAGAAAACAGATGGGGCTGGGGGAACAGTTTTGGGGGTGGGGGATGAAAAAAAACCCCAAATGTGTGTTGTGAAGTAACAACACCGAGTTTTATCCAGCTCCCTTTCCAGCCAAAAGCTTAGACCTGCCCGGCTTTTCCAGCTGGGCTCCGCTGGACCCCCCAGCTCTGGGGCTCTGTACAAAGTCGGAGGTGTGGATGAGCTGCTGCGTGCTCCCAGCTGCCCTCCTGCAGGTACTCAGGCCAGACGCATACTTGCACACCCCAAGGAATGGGTATTTAATTTAGTTTCCTCAGCTTAAACTCCCATTTCCCTTGGGCTCCCACCAGTTTCCCGTCTGTTAGACACGGCCGGCACAGGGTGGGAGCTCCTTGTGGTACTCCCCGCCCTGGGTCAACACCAGGGCATTAAATCAACATACCTTCTGTGGCAGTCACCACGGCTCCAGCTCCTGTTTTTATAGCCATGCTTTGGCCGATAAGGCTCTATTAATAAATCAATCAGGCAACACCACTGTTGCTTGCAGGAGCAAGCCCCAGTTTTGGGGGGGGGGCTCAGCAAGGAAACAATGAACTCTACTCACAGCATCATATATGCACAATAGTTTTATTTTGTTTTTCATATAAAAAAAAATTCCTAAAGACTGCAGAACTCTTGTTTCCTAATTTCTTACACAAATGCTTCCAACACCCTCTTCTTTTTAAGCTAATTCCCCCCTAACAACTTGCAATGGCGTGGGTTCCCTGGATTTTTGACCTAGTCACCCTTTCTAACGGGATATGTCTAAAGCTGCAATATGGCACTTGGTTGACGTAGTTGGCAGGTTTAATATATCTGGAAAGCTGGGGTATGGAGTCAAACACGGCTCGGAGTCCCTCAGCACAGGCAGGGAGCCTGCCTTCGTGTCCATGCCTCCAGAATGAACCAGACTTTTCTCCTTACTGTGCAAATAACAGGCTTTGGTCATCGACCAGTCCTGTTGTAAGGGATTCTCGCCCCTGAAGAGGATCCCGTCTTCAAGTGGGGAAGCAGCACATACAGTCAAGCAATTGTCCACAGCGGTCCCAGGCGCCGAGACCCCCATCAGTCAACTGTACCGTTGTAAGACTTGTTGAGCTTGTTGAACGTGAACTCTACGTTATGCGTGGAAATAGGCTTTCGGTAGAGAGGATTGGATGCCTTTGGAGAAACAAGCGGACAAAAAGAACAGAGGTGAGGAACAAAAAGTCCATGCCATGGTGAAAATGCATATAATCCCCCCTTCCTCCACCAACTGATGTGGAGATACTGCTGCATTTGGCTTTGACTGAAACGTGCATTCAGATCCAAAAGCAGTGTTGTTTGTCCACCAGACCCACCTTCCATCCTGTCTGGAGGCACAGGTGATGCCCTCAAATGCTGGGCAACCCCACCTAAAGCCTCCCAGAAGGGCAGCCTCATAGACCTGACCAACCTGACTGCCACCACAGTCAGGACTTGGTCCCCACTCCCCTACCTCCTTCAGCCCTCCAGCACTGCTGGGAAATACACGATGAAACCAAAGGCTGGGTATAATTTTGCAGAGTATTTGTAACTTGCCAAGGGGAAGGGCAGTGTGACGTGCCACACCCTGAAGCCCTGCTACGTGGCACTGCAGGGCACAGGCACCTGCATCCCTTGTGCCTGCCACCCTTCTCCATCGTTGCAGAGCTGTTTGCTGCTGGTGCATCCCAATAGCCCCCACATACCCCCGCCCCTGGCTTACCATTTCGTATCTGGCCCGGGAGCGTTCGCTCTGGAATCGGTCGAATTCCCGCCTGTCGTGAATGGTGACGAGCAGCTTCCAGAGCCCCAGCAGGATGATGCCGATCAGCACCACGCTGCCAATCACCGCCAGCACAATCGTCACGGCACTGGGGGCCGAGCTGCACGCTGGTAACGAGGGGGAGAAGGCAGTTAGCTCTGGTGCAAGTGTATCCCACATTGGGATACTGGGACATAATGACCTGGACCGCAGCCACTGAGCAAGTGACCTCAGGGCAGCGCTAGCAGCAGTGACTAAATTAAAAAAAACAACAGTCCTCTGAAAACAAAGGGTTTTTTTAATTAAATAAATTCCTGGCTAGAGGCAGGTCGAAGGCACAGCTCTCATGGACGTCACTAGAGCCGGGATGTCACTTAGTGTTTCAGGGCAAGAGGAGTGCTGCAGTGCCACGGTCCAACAGTGACGCTTGGTTTTAATGCCAGGTGGCCCATGTGGGACACAGGGGGTTAAGATGCCTCTGGCAAAAGGCTGCTCAGCTTCTGGCCCACATACAGATAGGTGATCACTAGGCACTTTAAATAAGTACATTAACTGTCAGCTAATCAACTGGTCTTTCAATTAAGTGCAAGCTGCAGCACAAATAAAATAAAATGTGCGCTATCTCAGTCTTCCCCATCCTGGCCTGTGCCTCAGAGGACCAGAGCAGATTGCAAGCTACTGCTGGGTGCTTGCCAGCTCATCCTGCAACACCACATGGGGTTTTCTTTGAGAAATTGCATTGCACATGATTAAAATAATGCTGGGAAGCACAGCTATCTGCAGCAGCCTGGGGAGCAGGGACACACAGCCCATACACTGCCTGGACCAGAGCTAGCTCTTTGGAAATGCAGAAATCCATAGGTGGCGTGGGTTTTTCCTAACATCCTGACTTAACCATCAGCAGCACCAGGTGTCCCCTTTTGATTTGTTTTTGCTCGCAGTGTTTGTATCACCAAATCAGTACATGGAATGTGTTTTGCAGTGTAAATAGATGGGGTTTAATTTCAGCATCCTGAGCTGGCAGGAAGCCCCTTCCAGCCGCTTGCTAGCAATGCTGACGCTCAGGTGCATGTTTCACTCGTGGTCAGAGTCCTCTTTTACTGAGTTGTGAGCATTTGGAGCTGGGTTTCAGCACTGTAAAACACCTCATTGTTTTAAATCATCCTGGTTCATCTGCTTGCATGCGCCTTGGTACAGCCAGTGAAACCAGCCTTTCTGCCCCCCAGCAGCCTGCCACCTCTCGTGAGGCAGCCTGTGCTCTTAAGAGGAAACCCAAGGGAGGGCCAACCTGGCTCTTTGAGGACGGTGAGGTTGGATTTCCCACTGGCAAGCTCCGAGTAGGTGAACTTCATGACACAGTTGTTCACTGGGTAGGCGCAGAGGATTGCGTTTGGGTCATCTGTTTCTGTAATGAGATACAGAGTGGCAGAGTTTTCTTTTGTTTTTCATATTAAAAAAAAAAAATCCTAAAGACTGCAGAACTCGTTTCCTAATTTCTTACACAAATGCTTCCAACACCCTCTTCTTTTTAAGCTAATTCCCCCCCTAACAACTTGCAATGGCGTGGGTTCCCCTGATTTTTGACCTAGTCACCCTTTCTAACGGGACATGCCTAAAGCTGCAATACAGCACTTGGTTGACTTCGTCAGCAGGTTTAATATTAAGAATTAGCACAATTCTCCTCTGCAAGCTGAGCAGGGCTTCCCACTGGTGTCAGGGAGCAGAGGAATGGGGACTGAGCCTGGAAAGCTGCACAGTTTGATCATAATTCCTGGGAATTGTAACCCAGCAGAGTCCAGACTTACTGCTCGAGAAAATGTGGCACCCAGCAAACGCTGCATGGCGAACAGACGCGACCTCACACGTACACACGCTC